CCCCCCCCCCCCCCCCCCCCGCCCTTGGACGTCGGGCGTTGTTCTTTAAAAAGGTTAAAGTGGGACAAACTGAGACGGCGGCTCTGCAGAGCACGGCAAACAAACAGCGGGGGTCCTCATAGAAGATATGGACCAGCACACACCGGCAGGAAGCCAGCGCCACAGCTCCGACAGGTAAACAGGGTCTCTGCCCCCACCCAGCAGCGATATCAGTGAACCTCACACAAACGGAAGAGTACAGCTGTGCTAAGTAGACTCTTTAAAACTCTTTAAAATCCTGATTAAACTAATTTCGTTGGTTAATCACAGCGAGTCTGTGCTGCTGTTTAACTTGATTCCAGCAGAGGGCGCTCAGGTCGTCTGTTTCTAGTTTCTTTCACTTAAACACAGCCGTTCATAACTTCCTTTTCAAGCCTCTTCTTCCAATCACAGACGGCAGCACACAGCCAGGCCACTGGCTACAAGTCGTACATAACCTTAGAGCAGAGGTGGAGGCAGGTGTGTAGGAGCGAGAGCTTTGTGACCAGGCTTAGGTCTGTAGGCTCGCAGTCATCCCGGTCATGGTGGTCTGAGGAGGGTGGAACCAAAGCGGCTGGACTGCTTTACGTTTTGTGAAGTCGTTTCACCTCAGAAGTGAAGAAGCTTCGTCTTTGCTAAACTTAAAGAAGTGCGGTGGCTTTCTTTCTGAGCTGTAGTCACTACAGAGGGATAAAGCTGATGAGCCACACCGGGAAGATTTGGGAAAGAGTTGTTGGAGCTAGGTTAGGAAGAGAGGTGATGATCAGCAAGCAGCACTGTGACTTAAATATTCATCTAGTTGCCATTAGAAAAAAAAATTCTTAAGCTGGTTAATTTTATGTGTAATTTTAAGACTTTATTTTGCTTTTGCTCACTGTGATAATAACTCAGCAGTCCGAACACATAACCCTGTGGAACTCCATCAGAAAACTGTTCCAATCAGAGTAGATGTGTTGTCCTCTGAGCACAACCAGGTAACTCAGACAACAGGCAAAGAATGAAATATCTCTCACAGACAAGATTGCTATTAATTTCAACACAGACAGAGATCGTGATTTATCTCACAAAAAGACAAGATTGACGTCTGTAGTCCACTAAAACCACAACTTCTGAGAACCTGAAGGAACCAAAGGTGGTTGAAACGCTGACATCATCTTCCACGCCAAAATTGGTCACGGTGCGAGGGCAAAAACAGAGCTGAGGTCAGAAGTCAGAGGTGGTGAGACCATCTGAGACTAACTACTGCGCCAAGGAAGCAATTAGTGACACTGAAAAACTAGTTCATGACTTGATTACTTTAGGCTGGACTACTGTAACTGATTACTATTATTATCATTATAAAATTCCCTAAAAAAACTTTATTTGATCCAAAATTCTGCAATGTATTTCTCCTGTTTTGGCTTCCTGTTTAATCCAGAATTCAAAATCCTGCTCCTCACATACAAGGTCTTAAATAATCAGGCCCCATCTTATCTTAATGACCTTGTAGTACCATATAGGGCTGAACGA